TTATGGCCAACTCTGTGTGCACACATACACACGCGCACAAACACACTAAATCAAACTCCATTGATCACTCACTAGAACCCCCGGTCACTTCACCCACGCTTTTTCTTGCAGTACTTGTTGCACTTCTTCAACAAGAAAAATAAAAAAGTGAGAAAAAGATTTTGAAAAAAAGAAAAGAAAACTCCATGTTCCACTAGAGTGGCCACACAAGATGAGTTTTGCAACACTTCTGTAGCTCTCTCCGGGAAAGGGAGTGTATTCACCACTCTGTTCCAAGTTCAATATTAGAAGAGCCAACATGGTGCATGTTCCCTGGCCAATTTTGGTATGTGCATGCCCATACACACACACTCTAATACGCAGATACACAGGGCCAAATGTCTCTTGTCTCTCTGAACCAGAAAGTGCTTCTGCTGGCTGTTACGCTCTCTCTCTCTCTCTCTTCATTCTTTTCTGAAATGCCCGATTTTCCTCCTCCCCTAGTGTTACCAGTCGCTCCTGCTGGGCCAATTTTAACGCAGCTTCTCCTTTTAATTTCGATGCTATCTGAGGCCATTATCTGCTCACCGCCTGCCTACTTGACCAGATGACCGCCGGAAATCTAACCCCGCCAATCCCAAATCGTCCATCTAGAACAAAAGTGAGATAATGAAGAAACTGGCCTGCAGCCGGTCTAAACCATTAAGGTTCCAGGTTATGTGAATATTAGAGAGGAGCACTGGGGGCGACTAAGTGCCCACGCCTCAACAGCATGTGGGTCGTTTCGTCCAGCCCTTGGAAACTTGGGCTGTCAACTCGGCACATAAATGTTGTAATAACAAGTTCAGTGTTATGAGTGAGCTGTAAAATGAATGTAGGTACAGGGATTTTTTTCTGTTGAGCCAAAGTGAGCTAAGCTGAACTGTACAGGCAGAAGAGTGGGAAACTATGAGTATCTACCAGAAAGGGACAACAGGGGAATGTTTTGACAATACTACAACGATGTCTGACGAAGTCACTTTGACTGTTCTCTTCCAAACAGGGGGTTCATTGAACTTTATCTCTGCAAAGTCTCAACAAATTTCAACGATTCACTTCATAACTGCAATGATATAATTACCAACAGGAACAAAGGCCAAAACTATGACATGATGCAAAGGTTGTACAAATCAAGGATTTACCAATAACATGTTCTCCTAAATGACCAAATAACTAATGGGCTCTGTGGCTACAAGTGAAAATAACTGGATAATGTAGAAGAACATGTAAAGAAATGTAATTTGTCAGTTGTTACCCAGCACATTGATTTTAGCTCCTGGTAATGTCCGACCAAGTAGCTGTAACAGTCAAATCTCTGAGTGTTTGAAGTGAGCAAGTGTGTAACTTAGTGTTGAGGAATGATGGTGATGTGTCATTTCTTCTTTCTAAAGCTACACAGTCTTTCTTTATGTAAGCACCAACATGCTCCCATTAGGAAATGTACGGGTGTCAGAATCCGCCAGATATCAGAGATCTGCAGTTTGATGTTCCCCTCTTGTTGGAAAAAAACGTACCCCAGGCCCCAGACGTGTACTTAGTACGAACAAAATGCTCCATTTAACTCCAGTCCCTTTAAAAGAGGGATAATCTGTGAGGAAAAAAACTCCTTTTTGTGGCGGCACTCCTGAGTGCCAGATAAGACTCCTGAGTTGATTTGCATTGGACATGACGGCTTCTCAGAACGGTAGCCAATTCGGTTACCCCAATAAAAACCCACCATTCAAATCCAATGAGTCAAATGAGGCTTTGCACAAAAGCAGCAATCCAACCGCCCACACTATTCTTTAAGTTAAAAGCCCTCTCATTCTCTCAGCTCCCTCTCGTCTTGTTCCATCTCCCACTCTTCGTCCTTCCTGTCTTTGCCTCTCTTTTCCTCCATCAGGCCTGACAACTTCATAATCTCAGCCAGAGTGACCTGTCCAGACCCTCCGTGCCGCCTGAATTTATTGGAGGCTGAGAGAGAATAAGAACCTGTCACTCGGCTAACCTCCTAACATGCTCTCTCTCTTTCCTCCCTTGAAGACGGGCCTGTAAACCATCCTGCTGGTAGAAATCAAAAATCAATCGTAAAATCAGGAATCCACATAATTAGCTGATGAAAGGCATCTTAATCAAAGTTAAAGTTACAGTGTGTGGGATTTTGTTATGTTTAGTGTTGAAGTTGCATGTTGCAGCTGAACACCCCTCACCTCACCCTCCCCTTCCAAACATGTAAAAGAACCTGTGGAAGCCTTCAATTGTCATAAAAACTCAAAAGGTGTTTAGTTTGTCCAGTCTGGACTAATGTGAAAAACATGGCGGCCTCCGTAGAGAGGACCCCCCTCCATGTAAATATAAAGTATTTTCTCATTGAACTAGAGATCATGTGGAGGTTTTCAAAACTATGACCTGTAAGGTGAAAGTCAATGGACATTTTTACCTCGGCAGGTTTGGTGATTGAATTTTCCTTGGCGACGGACACAGACATTAAAGATTGTCAAGCAAAATCTTATAATAATAATTATAATAACATAACAGCAAAGAAGCTTACTTAAACATGATCCTTTAATATCTACATTCTTATCTATTTCTCTGAACATTGTTTTTACATTTGAACATTTATTTACTTGCAAGGCTACTGCAGTGGTCACCTTCCACTGATTTAAAATTAAACTTTCAATGTACAAAAATAATAAAAAAATCCGGAACACACCTGTCTGTGAGCTGCACTGTCAGGGTCTCTGTGTTCTCTTAAAAAAGTAGTCTGAATCAATGATGACATTAAAAAAGTTGAAATAAAAATTGCCTTACCATTAACATCAATTATACTGGCTTGTTTAAAATGCAGGAATAGGAGGGATGAAAAGAAAAGCGACTTTCTGTTGTAGATGTGATCTGACAAGAGAGAACATCTCTGTTCTGGTGGTGTTTATTTTGGATTTTTATCAGCAATACTATCATTAGTATCATCATTATTGTGTTTTTTTATAATAGTGACTGCCTGCTGTCGTTTCCAGTGATAATTATGGTTCTTCTGATGGCACTGAACCCCCCATGAACCATCATTACAGTACTAGTACTCTGCACACTCTCTGACTCACTCATTCACTTGCCTTTCTCGAAGTGCATTTTCAATCTTGAAAGTCTGGACCAAGGTTCATGTCTTAGTTATATTGTTTACATTGGATCAAGTGAGTTATGGTTTTACATTGTAATTTAGGGAGCACACTTTATTCTCTGTGGGCCGCGTTTATCTATACTATCTTATCTATTTGTAGAAGGGTGTGCCTCTGACGTCGATGTTGTCAATTCAGAGGTAGTCTTTCCTTTTGAATGGAGAAACTGAATAAAGGTTTTTTTGGGTAGTTTTTCCTTGTTGAGGGTTAAGAGCAGAGGGAGTCACACCTTGTTAAAGCTCTTTGAGACAAATTGTGATTTGTGAATATGGGCAATACAAATAAAATTTGATTGATTGATAAACCAATATATTATCACTGTAATATCCTTATGGTATTACTACCAGCATCAACTATGCCATTTCAACAAAGGCTGCAATCTTGTGAGCTGCTTCTGCTTCTTTTTCTCCTTTAGTTGTTTGATGCTGTCTAAACCTTCCTGCAATCTGAACTATCCAAAAATGTGTTTTCACACTGCAGATAAACCAAACCATGGTTCGGATTTGATCCGGATCAAGACCACCTCTTTTGGTCAGACCAAATTTCGGTCCATTAGTCCCTCTCCAGATGCTTCTCCAGATCTTGTCTACTTTTTTTTCCTCCTGCCCTCTCTCCATCCTTTCTATCTCTTTATTTCTTCTCTGCCAGTAGTGAACAGTCACCAGGCTTGTTATTAGTGCCGGGTTGAAGCTGGTACTGTAATCAGACCCCTGGAATTAGCAGTGGGCCCATACTGGCAGGCGGGCACAATGCTGACAATTCACTCTAGTTATTATTGAGGTTGCTGCAATGTTGCAGCTTTGGCAGGAATCCGCTGCTCCTCTCAGAGCCCGGGATCTTGATGGGCTTTACTGAAGAGAAACAATGAGAGGTACAGCAGGAGTGTAGGCACCCACCTGAGGCTGAAGGATAAAACACACACTGAATGGCTACCAATGGGAGCAGTGAGTGGCACACTTTTTTTGTGCGAGTGCAGGTGGCTTTTAAGCACTGGGAACGTAGCCATATTGGAAAGACAATAGATTGGACATAATAGGGATGTGTTTTATTATTGGCGGATAAAGATAGAGAGGCAAAGCCTGTTGTATTAGGACAGGGTGTAATAGAAATCCATTTACTTGACAATAACAAGCAATTTAGCGTCACTCAGAGGCTAGCAGCTTTGTGTTTGGCTGCTAGTCTCCTGTCCAAAACATCAAAACATCCCAAGTCCTGTTTGCGTTAACTGCAAAAACCCCAGTGATGGTGCAGCATGTTTTAAGCGGGTGCTTACTTTACTTCCCAGCCTTTAAATTCAACTCTCACAGCAGGTAATGGAGAGTGTCAGTCTCCCATCAGATTGCTTTTAGGAATAATTCAGTGGTCATTCAGGGGATGATCTTTCCTGAATCAAAAGCACCAATTTCATCTCTCAAAATGTTAAAACCCCGTATATGCTAATGGTAACACATCAAAAAACATGTGCTGACATAAAAGATCATGCCAGAAGCTTTCAAAGTGTATGTCTGTTTTTAAAGTCTTTCTGCGATGTCCTAAATACAGAACACAAGATACACAACGGTCAAATCTTCTTAATCTCTTTTGTTTTTGCACAACTTCTGTTCTTTATAACAATGAGCATACAAAGTATTTAAATGTCAAAATTTAAGCTGACTTCATTTTCTTTCAATTTTTGACAAGTAATTATGTCTCACAGTTCCAGTCTAAAAACCTTGAAATAAGATGAGGCATAAAAGATTCAGATCACTTCACTAGTGTTATGCATTGAAAGTAAAAAAAACAATGGCTGTCACACTGTTTCTTTGGTTGGTAGGTGTTGGTACTTACAGCAGGGTCCCTTGCGTAGCACCTTGATGCGTCGCTGTGCGTTGCACTGGGCTTTCTCCAACTCGCACTCGTTGGAGTAGGTAGAAGAATCGGATCCGCAAACAGGTGCCACCAAGGATGGACATTCCATTCTCTTACAGACGCACTCAGCCTTGGCCTGGTCAGTTGGGTCCCGCTCACATACAGCACCAAAACCGCACAGCATTCCTCTACAGCCTGCAACAAACACAGAGAAGGAGGGGAATTTAAAAACTGGTATATTCAACCAATCTCAATATTTTTTTGTATACATTTCAGTCTCAAAGCTGTCTGATCACACCTATCCCCTTAATGAAAGTTTTTCTGGCATTGCATCTGTCCTGCATGAACTCATTATGCATGCAACTCAAACCAGGTTTTTTTTTTGCACCTAAATTCTTCTTAGAGTAGTTTATGGTGTGTTATGTTTATGCTTTAACACCAGACAGGCACGTCCAAACAAATGAATCTCAATATGCGTTAGCCGTTGGGGTCTTTGTGCAGAGCTCTGCTCAGTTCAGCAACACAAATGCATCAGGGATTAAATGTGATCCTAGCGTAAAGCACACAGATGCTGTCAATTCATCCAGGAAGAATCTGTCCACCCATGCAGAGCAAGCACAGTGTGTTGCTGGGTGTGCTGAGCCCTTAGCAGAATATGGAAAACCTTCAGTGTTCAAATTTTTAAAAAGTCAGCAACAACATTAAAAATCAATCCTCAGTGTTGTGGTCAGTTCATTTTCATGCTCCGAAAAGACAGCAGTCTTTGAAACTTCAATGATCCACCATCCAGGGAAACATGGAGGGACGGAACAAACGGCACTAAGACAAACCAAGGTTAGCCACGCACTTCAAGGCTTCAAGAGTCAAACAACAACAACGCTTGATCCCTAACCTCCCACTGACTCCCCAGCTTTGATCAGATGTGAAACAGCAAACTCTGAACTTGGTCAGATTAACAAGTAAGAGGTATGTTTTTGTGTATTTAGTGTGTGTTGTGTATACACAACTTCAGCTTAGAGAATAATTGACCTGCATCGTGGCAGCTACAGCTGCTGTGGGTCTGCCCCCACTTTGAGGGCTGTTGGGTAGCCAGATGGCGTGACATCCCTGCCTCACCAGTGGCGAGGTGGTGGGAGGACGATCACAGGTAACCGACCAGTGGATGAAACAAATCAAAGGTTGTAAAAATAAAAGTCCTCTCTAAAAAAGTTGTCTTGTTTAAAAAAGACAGTGTCGCTGCTGCGGACATACGTGTCACACTCTGCACACTAGTTCTTATCGCTGGCACCCAGGCCAGGACTAAACGCAAGGCAGCATGTCCACTCACTGGCAGGTGGCTTTTTGCTGTACTGGATAGACCAGCAAACAGTGTGATAGACACACACGCACACAAACTGTGTGCGGCACAGACAACTGGTCCAGCATCTGCCCAAGGCATCTCATTCTGTCTGTCTCCTCACACCAAAGCACACGTGTAACTGTGTGTGCGTGTGTGCACGTGTGTGTGTGTGCAGCCTCCTCGCCTGTGTGTGACAGGCGAGGAGGCGATTTTTGACTTGCCCACTGTTCCCTGTGGGAGAGCCCCTGACAGCTACCTGAGCTCACTCTCTTTTGTACCGGGGGGAAAAAGAAGTGAGTGCCAGTGTGTATGTGTGAAGCTATCCATGAATGCATCTGTATTCCTGACAGCGTGTGTGTGTCTGTGAGGTGTTGGCATTAGGTGTCTGACTTCCATACGCCCACACACACACACACACACACACACACATACACACATACACACGCACAGCCAGGTGCTAGCATGAAGGCCTTGTCATGACTGGCCCACTGCTCTGCCAACACTTCACACCACGCGCTGTGTGTTTCTCTGTGTGTGTGCACGTGAGTGTCAGTGTGTAGCGTAGAGTCGAAGCCACGGGAGCAGTGACAAGAGGTGAAATTCAATCGAACTGTGTCACATGTGTACGAGACAGGGAGTGAGAGTGTGTAATAGTAAGACAGGAAGGAAATACAAGACATTAAACTACGGCTGCAGTTAACCAAAGCAGAATAGGCAACTCCAGTATATTCCAGTGAAGTCATCAAACAAATAACAGAAAAAAAACAGAAAACACTGACAGTGAACACACCAACTGAAGAGGAAGAAGTCATGATTGCCCTCGGTGATTTGTAACCACATCTCTTCTGCAATGTTTTCCTATAAGAAAATCTTACTCTAGCCTGGAGCTTAGCTGACTGACAAAAGACTGACACCAGAGCTGAGGGCTCTGTCAAAGTGAAGGTATCAAGTGCAGGCTCTCGATCTAGCATCCAAACTGTAGAGTTCATATATAGGAGTTATTTCCTGGGAAAAAATCCTCCTGCTACCTGAGAAAAATAATCTGACACTTCGGATTATATTTAGAATGGAAAGAAGCTCTCTAGTTAATATGAAGAACAATATCTACCCAGGTTGAAAACAAAAGAAGACCACACACAAAAACTTCATGTCAGTGGTAAATTCCAACAGCCATGTACGTGACCCAGATACTATAATAGTCTGGATCCTGTGGACATGTCCTCGAGACAGATAGGTATTACTTTACAACAACAAAAGCGATTAAATGTAAGGCTTGCTTAGTGTTAAGCTTTTCTCTGGGAGAGGAATGACATCTGAGATCTCTGTCCAGAAGAGGGCAGTACTAAGAACAGCTAACACCTGTGCAGAACCTTCAGGTACCCAGGCCTCTGGTGGACCGCCCTCATAGGACAAGTGGGGATTTTTTATATATATACATTTACATTAGGATCCAAAACCGACATCAGAGAGCAGTAGTTAAAAACACTTCAGCATAGCAGTAGCCTTAATGTTTTGAAATGTATTTATTCAAATGGGATAAACCCCTTGAGCTGCACCAACTCATTTTCAAAGGGATCCTACAAGAGATATCAAAATAGAATCTGATGGTACAGTAACAATATTACAAGTGGCTCTATGCTGATCAACTGGGACTAAAGGTGAGTCATGGATGTATCATCAATGCATACTATGTACTAGACTATACTCCATCTTCAGAAGTTGTTTTCAATGTTAGATTTGGAAGTGAATCTAAAAGTATTCAGATTAAATAAATTGTTTCTAATCCAATGTATTACAGTAGGCCTACTATTTACAAAAATTGCCATGTAATTTGTATTCAGTAACTGACTTCATTTTAAAGAGTAGACCCAACTCTTTGTTGATAAAAAAAAGTCTATATCTGCTGCTCTGTCCAAGCAAGACAGCAGCCTGCAGCCAAGCTGAGGTGAATACAGTGGGTACTATAAAAAAAATAAAAGCCTTTTTAAAGATGGATTGGTTGGCTGCACTTATATGTTCTTACGCTGTGCAGTGTGCACGCTGTTGACAGCTTGATACTGTTAAACTGTAGAACTACAGAAGGAGAAAACATAGTGTTATATATCACCCAGCAATTATCTTTCATCTTTTAAACTTATACAACATATTTTCATCACCCAAGAGCTGTTGAGAAAAACGACTGCAAGCATTCAAAGGTATGTGCTTCTGTTTGGGTGAATGCACAGAAACACAAGAGTTTATGTAATTTTCATTGTGGAAAAATATATCTGAGTGCAACAAGTGTATGTGACTCAGTCCATGTAGGTGTGTAAGGTAATCTCCCTCCAGCCCTGTGGCGTTAAAAGCTTCACATCCATGTTTTTTTTCTTTCTATTGGAGACGGGAAGAAAATCCCATTGGGCAGAAAAGCCGGCATGTCCAGTTTGTGCTTGTCAAGGCAAACGTCTTGCAAAGGTAACACTTCATCCCGTGTTTAGACATCTCATCCATTAAATATGACATGATGTCACAGCCTAAGGACGCTCTCAATGCATCAGCTTGTTATGAGAGGGAAGGGACAGCACTGTGATTAAAGGAGCAGTGAACAAAAATGTCACGGTTTTGGGAGTTGAAAGAAAATCTGACTCTTGTGGCAATTTTCCTCAATTTTTTTTGCTAGTTCTGATGTTTTGGGATTAAGTGTCGGTCTAAGATTATTCACGTGTCAGTTAATTTCTTTGTTGGATCAAAGCACATGTTACTCACGTGTTATCATACAAAATAATGCTGCCATGCATAGTGAAGGACTATATATTTATTTAATCTTATATGTTACCCATGCAATATTTTGTGCTGGTTTCTTACTTTTCAACATTGATTGATGCAGACACAGATTCAATAAATATTCCCCAAAAGCAGTAGGTCCTATTACTTTGAGATTGTTTCTGCTCTGTGAAGAAAATATCCCTACAGCCTGTTGTGGTCACAGTCAGTTTCATTGTTTTGCTGCCTTGTTGCATTTAGCTCAGACAAAGTGAAAAAAAGGGGCAGAAATGGACTGTCGTGGCAAGCATGAACCGGTTCAGGCCCAATAAGGCTTGACAGAATCGCCGTGACAAACTTAAAATGGCTACTTTAGGCAAGGAACATTATTCTCTGCAGGGACTAGATACCCGTCAGGTTTCAATTATTTCACAGCAGTCCTGTGTGCTTCAGCCGGACGAAGAACGGGACCAGAGGAGGGGAGGGAAGGAAGGGAAAGGGAAGGTGTGCATGAATAATTAACAGTCCTGAACTTTACATGGGTGACAAGAATAGTGGCTGAATTACCTGGAGAGCCGGGGCAGTGATGCACAAACGGCAAATGAATAACTGTTTTTTCACTGGGGCCAGTTGTGCCATGATAAGATTAAAACCTGAACACGGTGGCTTCATCGCTGACTAATGACCTATTGACTGTCAGAAAATCAGGAAACTGAGGTTAATGGAGGGATATGCAGCTCAGTGGCATTGAGGAGACATTGCATTAACGTTGAATGAGTCTAAATTCATTACGCTCTAGCACTCCTGAGGGACATCTTCCACTCACTTGCTAATAAACGGAGCCTTTCTTTTCAGCTCAGGCTAAGTAATACAGATGTGTTCCTCGGGCAGGCCACCTTTTAACAGTCGTCTCCTCTTGCCGTCTCTCTCTCTCTCCTTCTCTCTTTAAGAGGGCTTTAGCATCTATATCAGCGTAGCTGTGCCAGAGGACCTTTGCGGTGAGGGGACAGGTTTCTATGGCAACAGCAAGTCATGCACTCGGTGCAGAGCATCTTGCTTCATCCAGCTGAGAGTGTAAAGTTTCCACGATGCACACAAGTGGTTCATATAGAGT